CCCTAAGTTCTAACCTGATGCCCTGCTGGCACTGGTTCCGGCCAACCTTAACATCGGTTCAGGGTGCACTCAGTGTGGACGTGCTATTTCGAAATAGGTTTTGTGTATAGATGTGTTATTTCCAATTAGCACTGTAGTGTAGACATGCCCTAGTAGCCCTTTAAAGCCCTTAAAAGTTACAAGAGGCTGATAAGAACCATTCGCACCTTCATTGGCTGGTTGGTTGGTTAAGTCATTAAGATGTGGACGATAATGTGGGAGCCAGCCAATATCCCGATTCATACCATTTGCCTAAGAATTAAACTTGTGAATGAATTAAACTTCCAACCCTTCTCTGTGAATTTGGCTTGTGGAATGTTTTTCATTGTTTTTAAAGTTACAGACAAATGGGTCTCCCCCCACGGAGACTTTTAAGAACATGTTTGTTCTCCTTGCCACCCGAGAGACAACAAACCCTTTTTGCTTGGGAACATCATTATGGGGGGGCGGCGGCTTTTCCCTTTGGCCAGGAGATCCCCAGGGTCTGGAAAGCAGTTTTAAAAGCTCTGCTTTCGTGCTTAATTATGCAGAGGCAGAAGCAGACGGAGAGGACGCGAGACATTCTTTCTGCCAGAGGTAGGAGCAGATGGGTTGACTCTGTCTGGTTAATACTAAGGAACCGAAGAAGACTGTGTGGTTATGTGAAATTCTCTCGTCTGCGTGACACAATGGGTCATTTCAATGGCTCGTTTTGCTCTGAAATCGTATGAGTGAAATCATGCATCCCATGAAATCCCTGGAAAAAAACCACAGGGTTGGATGAGCAATTTGTGCTTTCAGATTAGCTCACTCAACCATTCTGAAAGAACTAACAAGAGCTTCCTGAATGAGCACTGGTCTTCTCTTTCACCCCCTAAAAAATCCAGTGGTTTTCAGGGTCAGCAGAGTTAAATCAAGGGCAGGTGGTTTCGAAATCTAATAGGCAGTGTCAGGCAATGGAGTTGCTACGGGGAGATCTCTTTGGTTTTTTTAAATTCAGCTCAGGTTAGGAAGTATGAAAAGTTCAGGGAAGGCTTCAAGTGTCCCTCGGGAAATGTCTTGGCAGGGTCTGTAAATCGAACCAAGGAAAATCCACTTCGTTATCCCTGGACAGGTAGACCAAGAATGCCTTGGACTGAGGTGCGGGGCTGGCATCTCTCTCATTGTTCCAGTCGGAAAGAAGGATTTTGATTTCCGTGAGCAGGGAGTGCGGCCTGTCATTGGCCAACATTCTGGAGAAAGATCTGAGGTTGACCCAGAAAAAGTCAGTGAAACTGTTCCCAAATGAGCAGAAGGAAATGAATCCTGCTGTCCCCACCTTTTTATACTCAGGGCTTACACAGTATTCAACATGTGGGCGTACCGTGAAAAGTTAGCTCGTTAAATTTCATAATCTTCAGAGAGGGAGATGGGTTAGTCTGTAACTGGAAAAACTTAACGAACAACAAATAGTCTAGTAGCACCTTAAAGACTAAGAACACATGTAGATGAAATCATGAGCTTTCATGGGCACAACTCACTTCTTTCCAAATATTTGGTTATTTCCTCAAAAAAAGCGCCCCTGCCTGTTCTACCCAATTTTCAGAAGTATTGGACAGCCCTGAGGAGGGCAACTTGCTTTTAAGCAGCAACATGTGAATGTTTCTCATCATTCTCTGTCCACGCTGAACCCTGGGATGGAGGTCGGTGGGCGAAACGTCTCCGACTGATTCACTTTCTTTCTGAGGTAAAGAGAGAGTCTTTTCCTCTGCGTTATGGTGCCGGTGAGAACCCGAGTTAAAACCAGATTGTAGAGAGTTTGTCTCTCGGTTGGATCAAGAATTCCTCCTATATAGTAAGAGCTAGGGCCACCAAATTCAGTATTCATCTTCCTCCTATCATAACTTACAGCAAGGTGAGGGGCTGGTGGTGCCAGGAAAACAGGATGTGCCTCGGCTTGGGAGGGAAGAATCACAAGTATTGTTACAGGCTGGGGACCGACTGGCTAAGTAGTAGTTGGCAGAAAAGGACCTGGGGATGACAATGGATGAAAAGCTGGAGATGAGTCAACAGTTGGCCCTTATAGCCAAGTAGGCTAACGACAAGTAGGGGTGCTTTAGGAGGAGCATTGCCAGCAGATCTAGGGAAGTGATTATTCCCCTTTATTCAGCTCTGGTGAGGCCACATCTGGAGTGCTGCATCCTGTTCTGGGTCCCCCACTACAGAAAGGATGTGAACTCATTGGAGAGGGTCCGGTGGAAGGCGACCATATGTTTAGGGGCTGGAGCGCTTGACCTGTGAGGGATTTGTGCTTATTTAGTCTACAGAAGACAAGAGTGAATCGTGATTTGATGTAACCATTAACTCCCTGAAGGGAGGTTCCAAAGAGGATGGAGAGAGGCTGTTCTCAGTGGGGGCAGATGGCAGAACGAGGAGCAATGGTCTCAAGTTACAGTGGGGGAGGTCTAAGTTGGGTATTAGGAAAAGCTATTTCCCTTGGAGGGTGGGGAAACCCTGGGATGGGTTCCCTAGGGAGGGGGTGGAATCTCCATCCCAAGAGATGTTTAAGTCCTGGCTTGACAAAGCCCTGACTGGGATAATTGCTTTGGGGTTGGTACTGCTTTGGTCAGGGGGTTGCACTCGATGACTCTGAGGTCTGTGTCAGCCCTAGCATTCTATGATTTTATGATTCTAGGGAATCATAGAAGACTAGGACTGGAAGGGACCTCGAGAGGTCATCGAGTCCAGTCCCCTGCCCACATGGCACGACCCAGTACCATCTAGACCATCCCTGATAGACATTTATCTAACCTACTCTTAGATATCTCCACAGATGGAGATTCCACAACCTCCCTGGGCAATTTATTCCAGTGTTTAACCACCCTGACAGGTAGGAACTTTTTCCTAATGTCCAACCTCAACCTCCCTTGCTGCAGTTTAAGCCCATTGCTTCTTGTTCTATCCTCAGAGGCCAAGATGAACAAGTTTTCTCCCTCCTCCTTATGACACCTTTTTTAGATACCTGAAAATGGGATTGATATAAAATTAAACAGAAAAGAGGCAGAATCACCAAATCAAGTACAGTCTTCAAAGTTAACATAACTGAGCAAATGTTGAAAGAGACTGAACCAAGATGAGCCAGAAAAATAGGATGAACCTGATATGGGATTGTTTCTCAATAAACCTTACAGAAAAGAGATAAAACGGAGAAATTTGTAGTAGTGCTCTGTTTTGGCACAGCTACTTCAATGCTTAAGGTTTGAAAACTAGAAGAAAAATATTTTGGAAACCAAATTGACTAGCCCTTTTTTGTTGAAACATAGCAAATGATAAAAGTTTATAGAAATGACAAAAAAAATACACTTGATGGAATTCCAATTGTTAAAAATTACTATGAAAATTTAAATGGACAAATATTAACAATCCCTTTTTTGAAGAAATCCAAAATAAATATTAACTTCACAAATATAACATTGTATTTTTGAAAAATACAGTCATTTCAATAAAGCATGTGCTTTTTCCTTTTCTGTCTCTTTCTCTCTCTCTGGCCGTGTCCAGACTCAGGGTTTTTTTCGGGAAAAGTAGCCTTTTCCCGAAAAAACTTCCCCTGCGTCCAGACTCAAGCCGCGTTCTTTCGAAATTATTTCGAAAGAACGCGGCTTTTCTTTCGATGGCGGTAAACCTCAGCTAGGACCGGGGTCCCGTCGCAGAGGGTGGCCAGCAGGCCAAGAGACGCCCGTTTATATAGGAAGAGCTTATTACACCTTAGATTTTAGCTGCTAGAACCCAGGGGTTCCTTCGCAGCGGGCAGCCTGGGAAAGGCTGAAAGGTGCCCCAACGGATCTGTCACCTGGGAGTGACACAGATCCAATCGCCCAAGCTCTTCCTATGACTGTCCCTTTATAACCGGCTGAAGTTCTTTTAAATTGTACTCAGTTCTATTCCAGCAACTGAAGGAGTCAGGTTAAAGCTTAAACAGTTAGGGTATGTCTACACTACCCCGCTAGTTCGAACTAGCGGGGGTAATGTAGTCATCCGCACTTGCAAATGAAGCCCGGGATTTGAATTTCCCGGGCTTCATTTGCATGAAGCTGGCCGGCGCCATTTTTAAATGCTGGCTAGTTCGGACTCCGTGCCGCGCGGCTACACGTGGCACGGACTAGCTAGTTCGGATTAGGAGTGCCGGATATTCTTTTACTGGGCGAGAGATTCCTCCTCCCGTGGACGGCTGTGTGTTTGTATCAATATGGTTTAAGTCAAGGACACTCCTTGGCAGCCTCTTGGTCAGCAATTGGCATATCTCTGTTTACAGCCATTCACGGTCACACAGCCTGGGCCTTCTGCTCTGTGTGCCCTGCATGCTCCAGGCAAGCAAAAATGGATGTTACAAGGGGGGTTCCTGTCTGGCTACAGGATGGAGAAACAAATGCATGTGATGGTCACAGACCAGCCCATGTTGGATAAATATGCTAGTAAAATATAAATCATAGTAAAGAATAATAAAAATAAAATTCAGGATCTTCAGGATGTAGCCGAGTTAGTCTGTACAGGATACACTTAAAAAACAACAAATAATCTGGTAACACCTTAAAGACTAACACAACATGTAGATGGTATCATGAGCTTTCGTGGACACAGCCCACTTCTTCAAATAATGTGTTTATTGTATAAATATAATGTTGTATTTAATATTAAATTTGAATACGTTATCCTTAACAGGACATTACAGTAAAAGTAAAACTAGGTCAGGAAGTTGGAACAACATGGAATAGTAAGGTGTGTAACCAATACTCTCCATTTTGATCCAACTCATTGCAATTTTTTTTATCGGTTGCATGTAGTGTCGAAATTGTCCCATTTCTGCAATGTCTTTTCATTTCGGCAAAATGGAGCTTTGGGAAGAATAGTTTAATTGTGCTCCACCCAACCCAAAGCATCTACTATCTACAAATCCTTCCCTCTGTTTTCTGTCTCCAGGACCTCCGCCAAATAGTGTGGAAAACATGGAAAACCAGAGCTGTGTGACGGAGATAGAACTGCTGGGATTCTCTGATTTCCAGTCCCTGCAAGTCCTGCCCTTCGTGGTGGTGTGCTCCTTCTATGTCCTGGCCCTGGTGGGGAACACTCTGATTGTGATCCTCACCATCACTGACTCTGCGCTCCACACCCCCATGTATTTCTTCCTCAGGAATTTATCCTTCCTGGAAATCTGCTACACCTCAGTCACCCAGCCCAAGATGCTGGTGAACCTATTGTCGGACGCCCAGACTATCTCCTTCGCAGGCTGTGGGGCTCAGATGTGTTTCTTCATCCTCTTCGGCATCACGGAGTGCTGCCTTCTCTCAGTCATGGCCTACGATCGGTACGTGGCCATATGCAACCCGCTGCGGTACACTATTGTTATAAACCAGAGCGTCTGTGATCAGATGGCAACCGGTTCCTGGGCCTTCGGCGTCCTGGTGGGTTGTGGACACACCATTTCCATATTCCAGCTGCCTTTCTGTGGCTCTAATCGAATCAGCCATTTCTTCTGTGACGTCTTTATCCTTCCTGGAAATCTGCTACACCTCAGTCACCCAGCCCAAGATGCTGGTGAACCTATTGTCGGACGCCCAGACTATCTCCTTCGCAGGCTGTGGGGCTCAGATGTGTTTCTTCATCCTCTTCGGCATCACGGAGTGCTGCCTTCTCTCAGTCATGGCCTACGATCGGTACGTGGCCATATGCAACCCGCTGCGGTACACTCTCGTTATAAACCAGAGCGTCTGTGCTCAGATGGCAGCAGGTTCCTGGGCCTTCGGCGTCCTGGTGGGTTGTGGACACACCATTTCCATATTCCAGCTGCCTTTCTGTGGCTCTAATCGAATCAGCCATTTCTTCTGCGACGTCTTCCCTGTGCTGAGCCTGGCCACCACGGACACGCACAAGAATGAAGCGGCTGTCACTTCCACCACCGTGATCTTCATCCTGGTCCCGTTTTTGCTCATCCTCTTGTCCTACGGCCTCATCATCTCCACCATCCTGAAGATGCCCTCTGCCGAGGGCCAGCGCAAGGCCTTCTCCACTTGCTCCTCCCACCTCATCGTGGTTTCTCTCTTCTACGGGACTGGAACGTTTATTTATATGCAGCCCAGTACAGAACAGTCCCAGGGCAGTAACAGGTTCTTTTCCCTAGTATACACCGTGCTGACTCCAACATTTAACCCAATTATTTACAGCCTGAGGAACAAGGAGATAAAATGTGCCGTCAGAAATACAATAGGTAGGAAAAGGTTCCCTCAGGCCTTATCGATGGGCTGATACGGTAGTGCTTAGGAGACTCTGTGAATGGGGAAACTACATCTCCAGTCGTGTCTGAAAAAGTTGAGTCTATTCTTGTCTGAAATGCCTTAAGTCAGGGCTATTCAACGTTGGAAGCCCCGGGGGCCACAATGATACTCACATCAGGTGCCGAAGCCGCAACTTAAAGGGTGGTTGCATATACATGCAAATATGTATGCAAATATATGTAAATAGCTTCTTTCACACTGATGGGCATGAATAAAAACATACTTTTTAGCATTGAGGGTAATTAACCATGGAAACGGTCTGTGATGCTGATTCCAGATGTGATCAAAACGTAGCCGGACACAGACAAGCTGACAGCTGGAAGTCAGGCCAAATCCAGTGTGTGTGAGCAGATGATCAAATGTACGTGAACGTGTTTGGTGTTTCACCTTCATAATTCTGAATGTGGTTTTGCAGGTTCTTTTGTCCCTTTTTTGTATCTTGTTATTATTTTGCTTTGTGTATGTTCCCCAGTATCTATATGACTCTCCAAACATGAAAGAAGCCACGTGTTATGCAGAATGGTATATGCACCGCAGGCACTTCAACTTTATTAGGTAGGGCATTTAGAGTTCAGAAACTCTAAAGAAATCACTTTAAGTCCCGTCCGACTGTTCTAAGAGAACAACAATAAATATGGATACAAAGGAAAATCGTTTATCTTGAGGAGCGAGGATCGGGGATTGTACAGTATTCCAACAGGGCAGAGTAACTAAACCGTAGAAAGAGATCCTCACACTTATTGTAGATTGCCCTGACAGACTTTTAGGAACCTAATGGATTCCTGTTATCTCTGGAATTGTAAACTTTGACTCATCTGTGCATCTACTTTACCTGCTTTAATCTCTCAATACCCCTCATTTATTTTTCTTAGCTAAGCAATCTTCATTAGTTTACTATAAGAATTGGCTACCAGCTTTGTCTATGGTGGGAGATCTAGCAGGCAACTCACTCATGGGTGGGCTAGAATGTCGGGTAGCAGTAGAGAGGTTATTGTCACCATCTCTGCTATTTTGGCACTAGAGGCCATTTATCACATAGTCCAGCTTGCTCATGGAGCAAGACAGATTGGACCGTTTAAGGGGATGGGCTGTGACTTCATTAGAAGACGACGTAGCACATTGGTGGAGTCTAATTGAAGAACACATCACCAGTTTGGGATTCCTGTCCTGTTTTTGGAGCCAGTTCAGACAGTGTGACCGTGTGACTCAATCTACCAATGGTTATGTTCGAGTCTTCATCCCAGGGAGTTTTAAGTAGGAAAAAAAATAACATCTGCTGTCATTCAAACGGGATTAGTTTGGAGTAGTTCTATGGCCTTATACAGACCAGGTCAGTGTTTCATAAACTTTTGAAGACTGAGGAACACCAAAGGGTCTTATTCCTACCACTATGAAATAATAATAAAACGATTAGGGAAGTTCTTGCAAAACATTGCACCTGCTCTCCATATCACGAACATAGCAGAATCTGTAAGAATTAAGAGGCCTTAGGTTCTTTTGAACATCTCAGCCATAAAGAATGTTCTGGAGGAAAATGGCATGGTTATTAATGAGCATGCACTCTGTTCTTCTCTGCAGCGCACCTCCAACTGCCTCATGGCACACCGGTGTTCCCTAGAATACAGTTTAAGGAACACTGAACTAGATGCTCAGAATCTGTCCTTCTGGGTTGAGAATCTATGAACTGTCCCCAGGAACAACTTCCAGAAAGAGGAATTCTCTCTCATTTGGATCCTTTGGAGGCTGTTCAGGCTGTTTGGACACTCCTGTTCAGCTGACCAGTCTAGGTATGATGAGGAAACATCTGCTAAAGTTCTGCAGGTACTTTACCGTTACCTGAATGACCTCTGCTGGTCTTAAAATACTGAGGTAAATAAATTCAAGCCAGCACCAAACTCACCTGGGTAAGGATTCTTGGGTTCTTTATCACTTACCTGTATCATATGATTGATGAAGTTCTGAAGTATTTGAAAGTGCCAATAATTGGGATTCTAATCTCATTGTCCATGGAACTTGGTTTAAAGACTTTATCATACCTGCATGCACTATGAAATAATAATAAAACGATTAGGGAAGTTCTTGCAAAACATTGCACCTGCTCTCCATATCACGAACCTAGCAGAATGTGTAAGAATTAAGCGGCCTTTGGTTCCTTTGAACATCTCAGCCATAAAGAATGTTCTGGAGGAAAATGGCATGGTTATTAATGAGCATGCTTCAGTGTTTAACTAGCATGATTAATTTGGAGGTATTAATCAATTGGTTAGTCATGCTAAGCATTTAAATTTTCATACCAACTCTGCATGTATTTGTTCCTACCCAGTCTAAGGATATAAAGTAAGAAACAAATTAACGATGGACAGGTGATTTCTACTTGAATGTCCCATCTCTTGGGTTCACACATAACTCCCCGGCTCTAGGACTGGGGCTGTAGCCTGGGTTTTGACATGTGTCCACTCGGAAATGGGTCAACGCTACCAATTTTTACCACATTTTGCCACCTTTTAGACAGTAGGAAAATGCAGCTGGATTCAGATCAACACGTCAGGAGGAAACACCCAGTTGACTCTTCCAAACCCCTTGAGCTAGGCTGTTTGCAACAACTGGGAAATTTGGGAGTTAAATAACTGATGTACAAACTCAACACCCTCTTCAATTAATTTTAAACGTTGTCCTCATTTAACATATTCCAGTGGTCATGGAGGATTATAATTAGCCCCTTTGGGTATTAATTCAAAACAATGCTTATTACCTTACAAATACTGCTTGTAAATTTTCAGTGGCACAAATGAAACTACTTCTTGGTGTAAGTCCATTCAGGTTACACCAGGGATGTATCTGCCCCAGCTTGTTTTTATCTCAGAAATTCAAGAGGACTTTGACCCCTAACTACTACTATAAGTGCCTAAATCCCAGAATCGGGTTCTAAGGGGATGATCTAACCCCGATCTAACCCCTTTTTCAGCTGCCCCCAAACTCTGTAGGTGCCTAAACCTGACTTGGGACCAAACTTTTGCAGTAAACATTTCCTGGGTACTTACATTTCTGTCTCTGGACAGGTGTACTGCAAGTTAGCCCTTGGTAAGCTGCTGCCACTATATTTACCTGCACCTTCACAGGTATGGGCGAATGCAGCTCCCATTGGTGGTGATCTGCGATCCCCCCGTACCTGCAGAGGCACAGGTAAATAGGCCACGTTAGGGCTTGCCAGAAGATAACTGGATCTGGCTTGCAGGCAGGTATTTGTCCACCTCTGCTCTAGACCCAGGAATGAATGACGGGAAGGTAGGTGTCCCCTATAGTGTCCGATCTGGCAGGTGAGCTCAGAGTTCAACTATCAGACTGGGACCCATAGGCAAGTTCTCCCCAAAAGCTGAGGACTTTCTCATTCTCTCCAGCTGAAACTGTTGGGCCAGAGAGAAAGAAAAAAAATGTAAGAGCACCTAAAGGCAGAAAATGGATGTAGTGTGTTAGAGCAAGGGTCCATCTAGCCTTCTGAGATTCGTCAGGGCCAGATGTTTCAAAGAGAATGAACAGAAGGAGGCATTTTTGTGTGATCCATCACTTGTCCTCCATTCCCAGCTTCTTGCTGTCAGAGGCTGATGGACACTGCGAGCATGAGGCTGTGTCCCCAACCATATTGGCCAATGACCGTTGATGGACCTACCTCCACCTATGAAATGATCAAATTCTTTCCTGAGTCTAGTAATACTTTTGATTTGCACGTTCCCATGAAATGAGCTCTGCGTGTTGCTTTGCAGTTGTGCGCAAAAGGACGTCCGTGTTTTAGGACCGACTGGCTAAGTAGCAGTTCGGCAGAAAAGGACTTGGGGATAACAGTGGATGAGAAGCTGGAGATGAGTCAACAAGGCGCCCTTTTAGCCAAGAAAGTGAATGGAATATTGGGTTGCCTTAGGAGGATCATTGCCAATGGATCTAGAGAAGTGATTATTCCCCTTTATTCAGCTCTGGGGAGGCCACATCTGGAGTATTGTGTTCACTTCTGGGCCCCCCACTATAGAAAGAATTCAGACACATTGGAGAAAGTCCAGCGGAGGCAACCAAACTGATGAGGGGGCTGGAGCACATAACCTACGAGGAGAGGCTGAGGGATTTGGGTCTGTTTAGTCTGCAGAAGAGAAGAGTGAGGGGGGATTTGGTAGCAGTCTTCAACTTCCTGAAGGGGGGTTAAAAAGAGGCTGGAGAAAGGCTGTTCTAAGTGGTGGCAGATGGCAGAATGAAGAGCAATGGGGGAGGTCTAGGTTCACCACCCTAGGGGGTGGTGAAGCGCTGGGATGGGTTCCCCAGGGAGGGGGTGGAATCTCCATCCCTAGAGGTGTTTAAATCCTCACTGTCCTGCAGATCCCGTCCGCCACCAGGCGGTGGAAGGCCTTTTCCACCTGCTCCTCCCACCTCATCGTGGTGACCGTGATCTACGGAACGCTGATCATCGTGTACCTGTCTCCGAAAACCCCCACGCTCCGAGACCTGAACAAAGGGATCTCCGTCTTCTACACCATCCTGACTCCTCTGGTCAACCCCATCATCTACAGCCTGAGAAACAAAGATATCAAGGAGGCCATGGGGCAGGTTGTGAATAAATGTGTGGCCTTGACAAGAGATCAGAGTATCCATGCTAATTTTTAGCATCACTGACATGCGACTGATGGAAGAGGAATGAATGAGTCAACTCTGGCGCGAGAGACATGCCCACTTCCCCAGTCTCTGATATATTCCGGTTTGGAACTGGTGATTCACGCTTCACTCACAGCTTGGGGGGTAGCCAGGTGGTAGTTCATTCATTCTCCTCTGGCTTCCATTGCTGCAGGATGTCCTCCTATGTCTCCCACACTTCGGGATCCCCTCATCTACGCTTTCCTATGTCCAAAGAAAGAGGAGAGCCTACAGAACTCTGACTTCGACTCCCATGGCTCCCTTGACAGTGGGGGACATATCCCGCCCTCATCTTCAGATTTATAAGCACCTGGGGTCACTGGTGCCCTCTGGCCGCAAGCCTTCTGGCCACTTTAGTATGGTTAGCCCAGGTTGGTAACACTTTAAATAAAAGTCCTGGCTCCCGCATTTAGCCAAGTTGTCTACATTGGCATGGACGCTTCTCCAGAAAAAGTGCTTTTCCGGAAAAGCGTCCTGCCAATTTAGATGTGCTTTTTCCGGAAATACTTATAACGGAAAACTGTTCCGTTTTAAGAATTTCCGGAAAATCATGCCAGTGTAGACATAGCCCTAGGGTGGGAAGGGACCTAAGCAAGCCATCGAATCCAACGCCTGCCCAAAGCAGGACCAACCGCAACTCAATCATCCCAGCCAGGGCCTGGCCAAGCCAAGACTTCAAAACCTCAAGGGATGGAGATTCCACCCCCTCCCTAGGGAACCCATCCCAGTGCTTCACCACCCGCCTAGGGAAATAGTTTGTCCTAATATCCAACCTAGACCTTCCCCACTGCAATTTGAGACCGTTGCTCCCTGTCATCTGTGAAAACATGGGATTTTTTTCTTACTGTTTTGCATGAACATTTGGTGTGCCTCAGTTTCCTCTGTGTTATGCAAATACCAGGTGGTGGGACCCCAGTGGGCAGGAGTGGTTGCTTTTACTTGCCTGCTGTTAAAGGTGGAAACACTCCATAATCTGGCAACTGATGGCCGGGGGTGGGGAACCTCTCCACAGGAGCCAACCAGCGGGGACACGTTGGAGGGGTGGATTGTTTTTCCGAGGAAATGTGAGAAAAGATAGAGACGAGGCAATAGGCGTATCAGCAGGTGGGTGGCTGGAAGCTGGCCTGTCTCTTGCTTTGGGAGGGCCAGGACCAGTGTTCCCTGTAAGCTGAGCACTTCGAGAGATTCAAACACCACTCAGCTGATTAGCAGAGCTCCGGCAGAAAGTAGCATGCATTTCCCCTTGGGAGTGCACATCACACCACTCTGGGTGCACATAACAAAATTTATTCCACACGTAATTGGCAAAAATAATTAGAAGGAACATTGGCCAAGACTCTGGTCTCTGGATTCCTCTTCCCCAAGGTGCATTTCCTGAATGTTCCTTAAATCTGTGCTAACAAGCTCCGCTCTGCACTGACTGTGGAAGTCCAGGGGCATGATCCCTTTGGAGGATGCATGTTGCTCCCTTGCGGGGAGCTCATGGGGTGAATAGGGGTGCTGAAGGCTCCAAAGTCAGGCCCAGGAAAACTGAGCTGGCTCCTTCTCTGGCATGAGTACAGCCCCGAAGGGAGCCAGACTGTGTTAGAGTCCTGTCTGATGTCACTCTTCACGTTCCCCAAGCTCGAAGACGATAATTCGATGATGGTTCTGGATTGCCCCTGTGACGTAGCTAATCGCCACCCTCCACCCTACAGATGTTAGTTCCACCTTATCTTTAGAAAGGGTCGGCTTGTTCCTGCCATCCTTGGGCAGCGTGTTTCCGCCATACTTGATAATGCGGGGTCTTCTGGTTCCACCCCTCATCGATTTGCACCAGTGTCTTCCGCCGAGCACTGCTAAGAAACGGGTGTGTGTTTACAATACCTGCCGATGGTCCCTCTAAACTTTCCCATCCATGTGTGGTCTGATGTCACTCTTCACGTTCCCCAAGCTCGAAGACGATAATTCGATGATGGTTCTGGATTGCCCCTGTGACGTAGCTAATCGCCACCCTCCACCCTACAGATGTTAGTTCCACCTTATCTTTAGAAAGGGTCGGCTTGTTCCTGCCATCCTTGGGCAGCGTGTTTCCGCCATACTTGATAATGCGGGGTCTTCTGGTTCCACCCCTCATCGATTTGCACCAGTGTCTTCCGCCGAGCACTGCTAAGAAACGGGTGTGTGTTTACAATACCTGCCGATGGTCCCTCTAAACTTTCCCATCCATGTGTGGATTTCTTGGTCCCATCCATGTGGCGAATAAATTTTGTTGCATGTGCCAAGGCTTGTGAGAATTTGCACCACCCATAGAAACAACGAGCCTCGCTGTATCATTTCAGCTAGTCATCTGGGCAGCATTTGACTCTCCTGAGGGAATTTTGTAGAAACACGGATACCAGCCATGTTCTTGGCAGGCTCTGTGAGCTTGCAAACAGGCCTGTTTTCTACCTGGGCCTGATTTCTGCTCACATTACTCTATACCACCAAGGTGTGGCCACTACTTTAGATCAGGGTATCAGGCCTCATTCCAGGCCTTTGATACCCAACGTCACGTCTCCGGCCTCATTCTGGGCCTTTTATACCCGGCCTCATGTCTCCGGCCTCATGTAGTGTAGACGTACCCTAAGTTCTAACCTGATGCCCTGCTGGCACTGGTTCCGGCCAACCTTAACATCGGTTCAGGGTGCACTCAGTGTGGACGTGCTATTTCGAAATAGGTTTTGTGTATAGATGTGTTATTTCCAATTAGCACTGTAGTGTAGACATGCCCTAGTAGCCCTTTAAAGCCCTTAAAAGTTACAAGAGGCTGATAAGAACCATTCGCACCTTCATTGGCTGGTTGGTTGGTTAAGTCATTAAGATGTGGACGATAATGTGGGAGCCAGCCAATATCCCGATTCATACCATTTGCCTAAGAATTAAACTTGTGAATGAATTAAACTTCCAACCCTTCTCTGTGAATTTGGCTTGTGGAATGTTTTTCATTGTTTTTAAAGTTACAGACAAATGGGTCTCCCCCCACGGAGACTTTTAAGAACATGTTTGTTCTCCTTGCCACCCGAGAGACAACAAACCCTTTTTGCTTGGGAACATCATTATGGGGGGGCGGCGGCTTTTCCCTTTGGCCAGGAGATCCCCAGGGTCTGGAAAGCAGTTTTAAAAGCTCCGCTTTCGTGCTTAATTATGCAGAGGCAGAAGCAGACGGAGAGGACGCGAGACATTCTTTCTGCCAGAGGTAGGAGCAGATGGGTTGACTCTGTCTGGTAAATACTAAGGAACCGAAGAAGACTGTGTGGTTATGTGAAATTCTCTCGTCTGCGTGACACAATGGGTCATTTCAATGGCTCGTTTTGCTCTGAAATCGTATGGGTGAAATCATGCATCTCATGAAATCCCTGGGAAAAAAACCACAGGGTTGGATGAGCAATTTGTGCTTTCAGATTAGCTCACTCAACCATTCTGAAAGAACTAACAAGAGCTTCCTGAATGAGCACTGGTCTTCTCTTTCACCCCCTAAAAAAATCCAGTGGTTTTCAGGGTCAGCAGAGTTAAATCAAGGGCAGGTGGTTTCGAAATCTAATAGGCAGTGTCAGGCAATGGAGTTGCTACGGGGAGATCTCTTTGTTTTTTTTAAATTCAGCTCAGGTGAGGAAGTATGAAAAGTTCAGGGAAGGCTTCAAGTGTCCTTCGGGAAATGTCTTGGCAGAGTCTGTAAATCGAACCAAGGTCCAAATGCATTATTTTATACTGATAGGGTCACCGTCAGAAAGTCAGCCATTTTTCTTCCACAGTGCGCTGGGACGCTTCTGTATTTCTCTGCTTGAGTTTGGTAAGGCAGCAGAAACTTGGGGGTATGCAAGACAAATTGGACTCTTGAAAGAGGACCCGGAGGGGAAAGGTTAGGAGATACCGATCTATTGGCTCTGTATTTGACCGAAAGGTGGAAAACTCCGGTTAAATCATGCTTTAGTCCACAATCCTTCTAAACATAGGCTCCCTTCTCTCCCATGTACCCCCACTCAGACATGCATGCAAATATATGTTCATACCAAGAGTATTTATGCAGCAGGAAAATTTGAAAAGGAATAAGAACATAAGAACGGCCGTTCTGGGTCAGACCAAAGGTCCATCTAGCCCAGTATCCTGTCTGCCGACAGTGGCCAACACCAGGTGCCCCAGAGAGGGTGGACCGAAGACAATGATCAAGCAAGAGCTTCCTGAATGAGCACTGGTCTTCTCTTTCACCCCCTAAAAAATCCAGTGGTTTTCAGGGTCAGCAGAGTTAAATCAAGGGCAGGTGGTTTCGAAATCTAATAGGCAGTGTCAGGCAATGGAGTTGCTACGGGGAGATCTCTTTGGTTTTTTTAAATTCAGCTCAGGTTAGGAAGTATGAAAAGTTCAGGGAAGGCTTCAAGTGTCCCTCGGGAAATGTCTTGGCAGGGTCTGTAAATCGAACCAAGGAAAATCCACTTCGTTATCCCTGGACAGGTAGACCAAGAATGCCTTGGACTGAGGTGCGGGGCTGGCATCTCTCTCATTGTTCCAGTCGGAAAGAAGGATTTTGATTTCCGTGAGCAGGGAGTGCGGCCTGTCATTGGCCAACATTCTGGAGAAAGATCTGAGGTTGACCCAGAAAAAGTCAGTGAAACTGTTCCCAAATGAGCAGAAGGAAATGAATCCTGCTGTCCCCACCTTTTTATACTCAGGGCTTACACAGTATTCAACATGTGGGCGTACCGTGAAAAGTTAGCTCGTTAAATTTCATAATCTTCAGAGAGGGAGATGGGTTAGTCTGTAACTGGAAAAACTTAACGAACAACAAATAGTCTAGTAGCACCTTAAAGACTAAGAACACACGTACATGAAATCATGAGCATTCATGGGCACAACTCACTTCTTTCCAAATATTTGGTTATTTCCTCAAAAAAAGCGCCCCTGCCTGTTCTACCCAATTTTCAGAAGTATTGGACAGCCTTGAGGAGGGCAACTTGCTTTTAAGCAGCAACATGTGAATGTTTCTCATCATTCTGTGTCCACGCCGGACCCCGGGATGGAGGTCGATGGGCGAAACGTCTCCGACTGATTCCCTTTCTTTCTGAGGTAAAGAGAGAGTCTTTTCCTCTGCGTTATGGTGCCGGTGAGAACCCGAGTTAAAACCAGATTGTAGAGAGTTTGTCTCTCGGTTGGATCAAGAATTCCTCCTATATAGTAAGAGCTAGGGCCACCAAATTCAGTATTCATCTTCCTCCTATCATAACTTACAGCAAGGTGAGGGGCTGGTGGTGCCAGGAAAACAGGATGTGCCTCGGCTTGGGAGGGAAGAA